GGTCAGTCCGTGTCCCTGCAGGTGGAGCGGGTCAGTCCGTGTCCCTGCAGGTGGAGCGGGTCAGTCCGTGTCCCTGCAGGTGGAGCGGGTCAGTCCGTGTCCCTGCAGGTGGAGCGGGTCAGTCCGTGTCCCTGGAGGTGGAGCGGGTCAGTCCGTGTCCCTGCAGCCACACTCAGCCTCTCACCTTCTGCTTCCTGTTTCTTGTTTTGCTGCAGTTGTTGAACGTATTTGCGGGACAGAAGACCACCTGATTCGCTCCATCCCCGTGAAGCTGTATCCTTACTACGCCTCTCTGGGGACCGCCTTGTACGGGGCGGGGCGCCCTACGTGGAGGATGCCCGAGGCCTTCACGGAGAAGGTTCACCCTGTCATCTGGAAGTTCCTGCTGATGAAGAAACTGCTGAAAAGCCTGAACGACCAGATGCGTCCTTGTTTCTGCAGCGTGGAGCTGGATGAGCCTGAGGTGAAGCTCCGCCCTCTGCCCGGCCTCCTGAGGCAGCCGGACCTGACGGCTCAGATGGTAGTCGGCTGGTCGCAGACCGCTCTGGACACTTTCAGAAAGCTCATGTCTCAGTTCTCGGCCTTCGAATGTGACACGAACGCAGACGAGTGGAAAGCTGCAGAGAAGGACGTGCGGTCAGTGGTGAACCAGGACGCCCTGCTGGTCTTCGATGCTTCTAGGGAAGTGTTGACCGTCGCAGGTCGAGCCGATGACATGAAGAAAGTCAAGGCTCCTGTGGAGAACATTGTTCTCAAAGCTAAAAGTGTCCTGGAGCGTCAGAGCAGAGGGGTCACTGAGGTGATGAGACTGGCTCCAGCGTGGGTCTACATCCTGAAGAAGGAGGGTCTCCTGAAAGCTGCCTCAGACATCTCCTCTGAGCTGAAGCTGTCCTACGATAAGAGCTCAGAGGAGCTGGCCATGAAGGGACTCCCTGAAGAAGTGTACCAAGCCAAATCATGGATCCTGGAGAAGAACACAAGTCTGAAGAGTAAAAAGCTGAATCTGCCTGCAGGTCTGGTAGAATACCTCAGGACCGTGGACCCCACAGACATGTCAGAGAATCTGTTCTCCTCTCAGGGCATCAGTGCCACCTACTTCTTTGACAACACGTGGTTTACCCTGCTGAGCGGCTCGGACCAAGCCCTCGCCAAGGCGGAGGGGCGGATGAAGGTCGTCTTAGCCTCGCAGATCTTGGAAGTGGAAGACCAGAAGGTTTTGAACCTTCAGAGCTGGGTAGACCTGAACAAAGAGCTGTTGGATACCTACAACTGCTCCAACAGTAAAAGCGTGACCGTCTGGATCCACCCGGACAGAGGAGACAGAGTGACGGTGGCCGGCTTCGCCACTCCAGTCAGAGAGGTCAGCCGCACTTTGAAGGAGTTCATCGAAAACTTCTCACAAGTCCAAGAACCGCTGCGGGTCAAGTCCTGTGCTGTGGCTCAGTTTGTGCAGAAGAAAAAACATCAGCTTTGGATGAAAATCTGCAAAGATCATGACGTCTCTGTCGTTTTTGATGCAGAAAGACCCAAACTGGTCCTCAGCGGGGCTCGTCTTCACGTCCAGAAAGCTAAGTCCAGTTTCCAGGAGCTCCTGGCTGCTCTCTGCACCGACACCTTGACTGTGGACAAACCTGGAACCAAGAAGTACTTCCAGTCCCAAGGAGCCCTCATTCTGTCCTCAGTACTGTCCGACCTAAACTGTGTGGTGCTGCTCCAGTCTGAGGGTCCAGACGAGGAGGAGGAGGAGGACTACGATGAAGAGGGCAGCCTGTGCTACTGCAAGGTGCAGACACCTGGTGGAGTTCTGGTTTGTGTCAGTAAGGCAGATATCTGCAGCTTTAAGGCTGATGCTGTGGTGAACGCAGCTAACGAGGAACTGCAGCACATCGGGGGCTTGGCTCTGGCTCTGCTGAAGGCTGCAGGACCCCGGCTGCAGACCATCAGCAGTGACTACGTTGCTAAAAATGGAAAGCTACGGCCAGGTGACGCCGTTGTAACTGACGCCTGCGGCCTGCCCTGCAGGTACGTGGTCCACGCGGTCGGTCCTCGGTTCTCTGACAGCGACAGGATGACTTCAGTGTCACGTCTCAAGTCTGCGGTCAGAGAAAGTCTGAGACAAGCCGAGGGGAAGAACTGCTCCAGCGTGGCCCTGCCCGCCATCAGCTCGGGCGTGTTCGGCTTCCCTGTCCCGCTCTGCACACAGACCATAGCCCAGGCGGTCCGGGAGTTCTGTGACAGTTCTCAAGGCCCGGGGTCCCTCACCGAAGTCCACCTGGTGGACAACAACGATGACACCGTCAGGGTCATGGCTGCAGCTGTCAACGCAGAGTTCATTGACCTCGGGCCGACCATGACGGTCCCCCAGAAGACCGGCGGGAAGAAGAAAGGAGCTGCAGGGTAACGTTACCTCAGGATTCTGATCCCAGGTTCTGAAGGGTTGGACCGTTCTTCATCCAGGAATCAGGACCTGACCTGTTGTTTGCTTCTCAGGGGACGTCAGAGGGGTCGAGGCAGAGGGCGTGGTCAGAGTCAGTCACCACGAGGTGGAAGAGGAGCTGAAGGAGGAGGAAGAGGAGCTGAAGGAGGAGGAAGAGGAGGAGGAGGAGGAAGAGGAGCAGGATTTCAGGGGTATCCTAACAGGGGGGACCTGAAGGGACCCGGCCATCTTGGAGAGTCTGGAGGGTAAGACTCTAAATCTGATTCTGGTTCCTTCATGTTTTTGTTTTTCAGACTAAGTTTTATTTCATGGTAAAGTTTTAAACTCATGGTTCCCACGGGTCCTTGAAATCCTTAAAAGATGTGAATTTGAAAAAATGATTTCAAGGCCCTGGAAAGTTTGTGAAAACAGCCAAAAATTACACTTGTCCTTGAAAGTCCTTGAATGTTTTTTTAGGGGATTGAAGTTTTCTATTCACACGGCTGATTTTCAACATCTTAATATATATATATATACAGTATATATTAATGAGTGTTTCAGTTTCTTTGTTGTTTTATCTGGTGGGTTGGCAGAACTGTGAAGCACTTTGTCAGTTCCGGTGGTTTTTGTGTGTTTTATAAATAAATGGACGTCATTTCTACAAACCTCTACACTTACTTTGATCAGCAACAGACAGGCTGGCTGCAGGAATGTTTCAGGTCTGTTCTGGTGGTTTCAGGTCGGGACGGATGGAGCGGACCACAGCTGATGGTCTGAAGATTGTTCTGTGTAAAGGAAACATCCAGGAGCAGACTGTGAGTCCTCATGGGTCCAGACCAGGCCTCAGTCTGTTTTATTTATAATAAATCTGTTCGGCTGCAGATTGTAAAGTCTAAATGTTCTGGAGATGTGTTGGACTGTTTCAGTTCTGACTCTGATCCACAGACTGACGTCATCGTCAACACCATCTCAAAGAACATGGACCTGCAGCAGGGAGCAGTTTCCAGAGCCATCCTGGAGGTGGGCGGAGACCTCTTGCAGGTCGCGGTCCTGAATGAAGTTGGGGGAACTTCGCTGTCGTATGGAGACGTGGTCTTCACCGACGGATACAAACTGAGGTGTCAGAAGGTCTTTCATGCTGTTTGTCCGTTTTGGGACAACGGAGCCGGCGGAGCAGAGAAGGTGAGCTGTTGGACCTGACCCAGTCCTGTTCTGAAGATCTGCAGGGTTTACCTTCTTCTCTTCTGTCAGGATTTGATCTCCATCATCACCCTCTGCCTGGAGGAGGCGGAGAAAAATCAGATGACCTCGCTGTCCTTCCCGGCCATCGGGACCGGGAACCTGGGCTTCCCCAGAACTTTGGTGTCCAGAGTCCTTCTGGAGGAGATCCAGAGGTTCAGCCGCAGGAAGTCCCCCCGCCACCTGAGAGAGGTGGTCATCGTGGTGCATCCCAGTGACGAACAAACTGTGGACGTGAGTGTTGGCTTTAACAAACACACCAATCAGCTGATCAGTGAAAATAACAAAATAATCAATAGGGATGCATATTTAAATGTACATAGTGTATGCACAAACACACTCCCAGAACAGAAACACAAACAGCAACAAGCAGGAAATCAATATCTGACCTATATATCAGCCCAGTTTTACATATCGGACCGATACCATATTAATGTTGATATAATGTGCGTCCTTAAAAATCAAGTTTCATCAGGTTCTTAGATCTAAACTGTCCAGAGGTATGAGAGAGGGATATCTTTCTCTGTGTGTCTCTGTGATGGACTGTAGACATGTCCAGATGGTGGACATGGAGACATGTCCAGGTGGTGGACACCAGCTCCACCTGACAGAGTGAGGAAAGAAACTGAAAAGTTTGTTTTTCAGTGTTTCAGCAGAGAGTTCTCGGGTCAGACGGGTTCGAGGACTGTCCACCAGGAGGACTTTACGAGACCTGCAGCTCAGCACAGACTCAGCCGGTCCCAGAATTCCTCTGGTAAGAAACTCTAAATGTAGTATTTATCTCCAGACCTGTAGAGGGCGCTAATCGGACTTCAGAAATGATTCAATAATTAAAGGAAGCTTTGATTCAGTTACTTTTAAATCCTGAAGGTTTTTTTTTCAACAGCAGAAACCTTCAGCCCAGTCCTGTCCTCGTCCCTCGGTGTTTACCAGATGCAGATGGGTCAGCTGACCCTGGAGGTGTCCTCGGGGGACATCACTAAGGAGACGTGTGACGTCATCGTCAACTCGTCCAATCAGAACTTTGACCTTTACGCAGGTGAGTCATTGGCTACGTTCACACTGCAGGCAAATCCGACCCAAATCCGATTTTTTTGACCCATCTGACTCATATCCGA